ATGATTAAATCATAATGAATATATTGATGCTTGTGAAAATAATATGTATTGTTAAGGGTATCTAGAAGACCTCTAAGATATACCCATATTAATGTTGATTTGAAAGGTATCTAGAAGAACTCTAAGATATACCTATATAAGTTAGGCCTTGCGGGTATGATGTCCGGTGGCTAGGGTTAAAACATACGTACGGGATCCAAGAACCAAACTTGAGTACCTACTCGTTTGGGGTACCACCCAACCCAACAGTGAACACTACGCTGTCGGTTTTTGGTTGACCTTAAGTGAAGGTAAGTTTAAGATTTAAAAACTCTCTTTAAAAATATATATATCTTAAACTAGGCCTAGCTTAAGGATTAGGATATCTCGAACTAGAACTAGTTTAAGAATGAAATTGGCCTGAGACTAAGTATAGTTTAAGGATATTGTTAAATATTGAATATTGAATATGAATGTTGAATATTGAGATATTGAAATAAAAATATTGAAAAATATCATGAATGAATTATATATTGTGTGCATGATATCAAATGGTTATTTATGAATTGAGATTCAATTTATGTGGATGTTCGACGCTTTAGATATGCTTACTCAGCTTCATTGCTGAGCGTGTAGTATGTTTTATTTGCTACATGCAGGTAGGCAGAATGAATGATTGGCATGTTCCTGGCAGCACTGTAACGCCTTGCAACCCGGTCTAATAGAGTTGATTATTTTAATTAATTAATTACTGTTCCAGACCGGAGTTGGGGAAATAAAAAGTTCTTAGAAAAATTATTTGATCACATCATTAAATTCGTTTTGACTGTCTGATTCCAGAAACGCAAACGGATCTCAATTCAGACCCATTCGGGGGAAAAAGTGCGTACCGTTCAGGTCAGATTTTACATAACGGAGTAAAGTGAATATTTGTAACCTCCATCCAATTCACACGCCACCTTACTCATGCCCATTTAAGTCCCCATTATTTTCTTCATTATTATTCTCATTTTAAAACCCCCATCCCATCCCTTTCCTCCTTCACTTTTTGTAACCCCCATATTCAACACACACACTCTCTCTCTTCCCTTTCCTTTTGTTCGGCCAGACCAGTAGCAAGGAGGACCTCCGGCGAAGCTCCGGCGGGTGCAAGGTTGAAGGAGAAGAAGGGCTAGGCCGTTCGTGCGAAGCGTAGTCGTCGTTCGTCCGTTCGTTGGTTCCTTGCTAACCGTTTGTTCATCTCGTCTCATAGTTTCGTCAACCCCTTCGTTTAGAGGTGAGTAGTTGTACCCTCTAACTCTAGAACATTTAGTTATAATTTATGTCGTATTCATAGAAATATCGTATGCAACCTACGTAGAATCTATGCATGTTCTTAGGTTAACCATAAAAAAAAACGTTGTAGAATTAATAAGGGAGAAATGTTCTGTATATTGAATTGTTCTTCCTAGTTGCAAGAGGTTTCTCCTGTAATTATAGAGAGGATAGATTTCCAAAATAGACAGGGGAATACAAATCCTACAAGGAAATGGATAAGCAATCAAACTAGGAGACAAACGAATCGAATTCGGTAATCTCAGGACCGGATTCCTCGGAAATCGGATTTCTTGGAAATTGGATTTCTCGGGAGTTGGATTTCTCAGAAACCGGATTCCTCGGAAGTTGGGTTTCTTTGAAAATGGATTTCTCAAAAAAACCGGATTTCTCGGAAATCGGATTTCTCGGAAGTTGGATTTCTCGGAAATTGGATTTCTCAGAAACTGGATTTCTCGTAAGTTGGATTACTCAAAAACGGATTACTCGAGAACTAGAAATACATTCATCAAAGTTTTATTATCATAATTAACCCTCATTATTTTTGTTATATAATTGATGTATTCTCGGCATTTACCAAAGGTAAGAATATCAAGCATCCATCATGTTCATTCTAGATGCATGTTTTAGGTGTCATCATGTGCATACCGCTGTAGGGAGGACTTCGTGCGCCTACTACAGTGGGCCCGCCCAGGATCCCTTGGGGTCCAACGGGTTTTCATCATGTTGGGCTTGTGTACGTACATAGTAGTCAGGCTACGGCTACTACCCGGTTTTGCTAGTCCACTCGCGACATTTTCGTCGTGCCCGGCTCGTTACCGTTCGGGGACGATGACCGGAGTGCAGGGGTGATCCTGTCGAGTGAGACTAAGTCAGGAGTGTCTCAGATAGTCAAGTCATGCATCAAGTCATATCATCATCACGTATGAACCAATCGCCTTGTTATTTGTAATAGCTCTAACAGGTGGAACTAAACAATTAGTAACATGGGGTTTTTCCCGTACGTTAAGTACAGGTATTAATATGCGTATAGCCATATTGGTTATCACTTAATGTTCTTTTGTTAGATTCACTCCTCAGCTTTTTGCTGAGCGTGTAGTTGTTTTTGCTACACGCAGGTAGACATGACGGTACTGGTGCCAACCCTGGAGAGCAATGACGATGGGGAGATGGGCGGCGCGCGGACAAGCTTATATTTAATCTTGTTACTTAATTAATCATTTGGGCATGAACCCACCCTTGTCATTATTTATTTGGACTGGACTTATTTATTTACTTCCGCGTTTACTCTGCACTTTTATACACACGTTTTGGGAGTAACTCCCCGGCATTTATTTCACTAAATTAAGCACAACCGTTTTCTTATTAAATAGTCATTAATGTTTTTGTAACGGACGGTTCTCGGACTGTCCATGTAACCCTACCGGTCCGTTGGGTCGCGGGTGAACCGGGTCCACGGAGGGCGGGTGTTACAATTTGGTATCAGAGAGGTTCGGTTTTGTAAAAAAAAAAATATATTGTCATTTTGGGTCAAAAGGGTATTTTCAAAAGTCCACAGCCGCATCTCCCATCACATCACTCCCAGGGAAAGGTACACTGTTATTTTAATCACATGTATGTTATATTGTAGTTAGTTCTTATTTAAATTATTCCTCTAGAAAATGAGCCAAGCCGCTGGCAACGACGAACAGGCTGTCCCAGAGGGTGAGCATGAGCACGTGAGTGTGCACATTGAAGCGTCGAGCTTCACACCCCAGCAGGCCTCTGAGCAGGCGGTTCTGGGCGCGGGCCAGATTCCTGAAGCTGTCCCTATCATTCAGTCGCAACTCGCGGCTAACTTCATGAACTTTCTCCAGCAGATGGCTGGAGCATACGTGCCACCACCGCCGCCACCACCGCCACCGGCGGCAGTGGTCACTATTGAGAAGCTCCGAAAGAACGGGGTTGAGGAATTTCTAGGCGATCAGATCGCCGACCCCATGATCGCGAAACGGTGGTTTGAGCGAACCATTCGGGTACTGGGAAACCTGAGGGTTCTGCAGGAGCAGCGTGGCGACCTCGCAGTTGCCTTACTTCAGGATTCTGCCTATGACTGGTGGAAACGCGTAGGAGCAGACCTTCCGGAGCCCGTGCAGTGGGCCACTTTTGACCGACTCTTTCATGAGGAGTACATCCCGGAGCACTTCGTCGAGGCGAAGCGAGAGGAGTTCTTGAAGTTCACCCAGGGTGAACTCATGCTGCCTGAGTATCGTCAGAAGTTTGACGAGCTCGCGGGGTTTGGGCAAGACCTCGTACCGACGGTGGAGAAGCGGTGCAAACGCTTCGTGGAGGGCTTACGTCCTAACCTTTCAACTCATCTGATAATTGCTCCACAAAGTGACATCAACGCGTTGTACAAGAATGCGTTGGACCTGAATGCGACTCTCATTAAGAAAGCTGAATTCGAGCAAGCGCAGGGGGCATCAGCATAACCATCCCGTCCTCCTCCACCCCAGAAGGCGGGAACCAGCAGCAAGAGGCCCTTTGCAGCACCGAGTAGCTCTCACCAGAGCAAGAAGGTGAAGTCAGCCCCAGCTCAGTCATCGGCGTCCGTGCAAAAGAAGGGCAAGAGCGGAGATGGGTTCCGCAACCCGATTTGCGACCATTGTGGGGGCAGGCACCCAGGGGAGTGTTGGTACACTCTGGGCTTGTGCCTTGGATGTGGCCAGGCCGGGCATTTCCGAAAAGATTTTCCGAAGAATCCGGGTGAGGCATTTCCGTCCGCACCAGCCGCTTCAGCCCCAGCAGCGCAGCCCGCTCAGAGTCAGAAGTCGGCGGTAGCATCTAGCCAGCCCAAGCGGCAGGCACCTGGCGCTCAGGCGGGGAAGGCCCCGGCCCGTACTTACGCGATGCGAGGGCGCACCGAGCAGCCAGTCCATGACGTCATCATGGGTATGTTTACCTTATTCGATACATCTATTATAGCCTTGATTGATCCGGGTTCCACTTTATCATATGTTTGTATGCCTATTCCTGATATGCCCAACATTCCGAGGGAAGACTTAGACAACCCGGTAATTGTGTCCAACCCATTGGGACACAGTCTACGACTCACCCATGTGTATCACGATTGCCCATTAGTGGTCTAGGGAAAGACCTTCCCTGCAAGTCTCATTGAGCTTCCACATCGTGAGTTTGACGTCATTCTAGGCATGGACTGGCTCACTGCCAACCAAGCCGTTGTCGACTGTGGAGCGCATACGGTTCGGCTGAGAGCCGAAGACGGTAGTGATGTACTGATCCGTGGTGAGCTTCTTCCGAAAGCTCCAGAATTCATTTCCTACCTCCATGCTCGCCGACTCATTCGCAAGAAGTGTGAAGCATTCTTGTGCACAGTGCGTGACACTCGTCAGGAGGCGCCTAGTAGGGGGGACATCCCTACGGTATGTGACTTTCCTGACGTGTTTCCAGATGACTTACCTGGTCTACCGCCCCCTAGGGAGGTAGAGTTTTCCATTGATCTTGTTCCAGGAACAGGACCAATCTCGATCACACCTTATCGCATGGCGCCTGCAGAGATGAAGGAGCTGAAGGCTCAACTGCAGGAGTTGTTGGATAAGGGCTTCATCCGACCCAGTGTGTCCCCTTGGGGAGCACCGGTTCTGTTCGTCCGCAAGAAGGACGGATCGATGCGGTTGTGCATTGATTACCGTCAGTTAAACAAAGTCACCATCAAGAATCGCTATCCGCTACCACGCATTGACGATTTGTTCGACCAGCTTAGAGGAGCCACGGTTTTCTCTAAGATCGATCTCCGGTCAGGATACCATCAGATCCCCGTTAAGAAGGAAGATATTCCTAAGACAGCATTTCGCACTCGGTACGGTCATTATGAGTTCACGGTCATGCCCTTCGGGTTGACTAACGCACCAGCAGTGTTCATGGATCTGATGAACAGTGTGTTCCGGAAGCATCTCGACCACTTTGTGGTAGTCTTCATCGATGACATCTTGGTGTACTCCAAGATACAGGAGGAGCACGCTGAGCACTTACGCCTTGTCCTGAGCATTCTTCGGGAGTAGCAGCTTTATGCCAAGCTGTCCAAGTGCGAGTTCTGGCTGCACGAGGTTACCTTCCTCGGGCATGTCATTTCAGCCGAAGGGGTGAAGGTAGACCCGTGTAAGATAGCAGCGATCACAGAGTGGAAGACTCCGCGTAATGCTCGTGAGGTGAGGAGTTTTCTCGGACTGGCGGGTTACTATCGTCGGTTCGTGAAGGACTTCTCCAAAATAGCATTGCCACTGCACAAGCTGATGAGGAAGGACGTTAAGTTTGTTTGGACTGATGCCTGTCAGCAGAGTTTCGAGCAGCTGAAGGAGTGTCTGACCCAGGCACCGGTCCTGGTCCAGCCCACTCCAGGAGTGGAGTATACGGTTTTCAGCGACGCGTCCCATAACGGCTTGGGGTGTGTTCTCATGCAGGAAGGCAAGGTCGTTGCGTATGCATCTCGGCAGCTGACGCGGCACGAGTGTAATTATCCGACACATGACCTAGAGCTAGCAGCCATTGTACTTGCCTTGAAAATCTGGAGGCATTACCTCTACGGCGAGACGACGCGTATCTTCACCGACCATAAGAGTCTTCAGTATCTGTTGACGCAGAAGGATTTAAATCTCCGGCAGAGGAGGTGGTTAGAGTTGATTAAGGACTATGACTGTCACATCGCTTACCACCCAGGTAAGGCGAATGTGGTAGCCGATGCCCTTAGTCGTAAGACTCTAGCTGTGCTATACGTCCAGCCTACATTATAGCAGCAGATAGCCTCAGCCCAGAGCAGCGATGACTTCTGTATTCAGACCATTGAGCTCGTCTCTCGTGGAGAGAAGCCGGATTTTGCAGTTCGGGATGGTATCTTGTACTATCGGGAGCGTATGGTTGTGCCAGCGGGGGAGTTGAGAGAACGCCTGCTTCGCGAAGCACACAGCACTGTGTATACCATGCACCCGGGCAGTAACAAGATGTTCCAGGACCTTAGGAGACATTACTGGTGGCCCGCGATGAAGCGGGAGATCACTGAATTCACGTCGCGGTGTTTGACTTGTCAGCAGGTCAAGGCCGAGCACCAGGTTCCTTCAGGATTGCTTCAGCAGATCACCATTCCCGAGTGGAAGTGGGATCGCATTACGATGGATTTCGTCGTGGGACTGCCATTGTCACCACGTAGGCACGACACAGTTTGGGTCATCGTTGATCGGTTGACCAAGTCAGCACATTTTCTCCCCATTCGTCGTGACTTCTCACTCCAGCACTTAGCGGAGTTGTACATCCGCGAGATCATCAGGCTACATGGAGTACCGTCATCTATTATTTCGGATCGTGACCCTCGATTCACATCACAGTTTTGGAAGAGTCTACAGAGGGCATTGGGCTCCGATCTCCATTTTAGTACGGCATTCCACCCTCAGACAGACGGTCAGTCTGAAAGGGTGATTCAGATTCTTGAGGACATGATGCGTGCGTGTGCAATCGACTTTGGGGACGGTTGGGAGCAATACCTGCCACTCATGGAGTTTGCATACAACAATAGTCATCAGGCTAGCATTGGTATGGCACCATATGAGGCTCTGTACGGTAGACCCTGTCGTACCCCTACTTGTTGGACAGAGCTTAGTGAGAGGAGGCTGGCAGGGCCTGATCTCGTTCGTGAGACCGAGGAGAAGGTCCAGGTGATTAAAGATCGACTTAAGGCGGCTTCGGACCGACAGAAGTCCTACGCTGACCTTAAGAGGCGTGACATCGAGTATGCAGTCGGGGATAAGGTTTTTCTGAAGGTGTCACCTTGGAAAAACGTCCTACGTTTCGGCAAGAGGGGTAAATTGAGTCCGAGGGTTATAGGCCCGTACCCGGTCACAGAGCGGGTAGGACTTGTAGCTTACAGGCTCGAGTTACCATCGGAGCTGAGCAAGATTCACGATGTTTTCCACGTGTCCATGGTTCGGAGGTACCGGTCGGATCCATCTCATGTGATACCAGCTCATACAGTCACACTTGATGAGAACCTTACGTACGAAGAGGAGCCGGTTGAGATTCTGGCTCGCGAGGTCCGTCAGTTGAGGAACAAAACCATTCCACTGGTCAAGGTTCTGTGGAGAAGTCACACCGTCGAGGAGGCGACATGGGAAACCGAAGAATCCATGCGCACTCGTTATCCACATCTTTTCAGTGACCAGTGATCAGGTAAATTTCGAGGACGAAATTCTCTTAAGGGGTGGATAATTGTAACACCCTGCAACCCGGTCTAATAGAGTTGATTATTTTAATTAATTAATTACTATTCCGGACCGGAGTTGGGGAAATAAAAAGTTCTTAGAAAAATTATTTGATCACATCATTAAATTCGTTTTGACTGTCTGATTCCAGAAACGCAAACGGATCTCAATTCAGACCCATTCGGGGGGAAAAAGCGCGTACCGTTCAGGTCAGATTTTACATAACGGAGTAAAGTGAATATTTGTAACCTCCATCCAATTCACACGCCACCTTACTCATGCCCATTTAAGTCCCCATTATTTTCTTCATTATTATTCTCATTTTAAAACCCCCATCCCATCCCTTTCCTCCTTCACTTTTCGTAACCCCCATATTCAACACACACTCTCTCTCTTCCCTTTCCTTTTGTTCGGCCAGACCAGTAGCAAGGAGGACCTCCGGCGAAGCTCCGGCGGGTGCAAGGTTGAAGGAGAAGAAGGGCTAGGCCGTTCGTGCGAAGCGTAGTCGTCGTTCGTCCGTTCGTTGGTTCCTTGCTAACCGTTTGTTCATCTCGTCTCATAGTTTCGTCAACCCCTTCGTTTAGAGGTGAGTAGTTGTACCCTCTAACTCTAGAACATTTAGTTATAATCTATGTCGTTGTATTCATAGAAATATCGTATGCAACCTACGTAGAATCTATGCATGTTCTTAGGTTAACCATAAAAAAAACGTTGTAGAATTAATAAGGGAGAAATGTTCTGTATATTGAATTGTTCTTCCTAGTTGCAAGAGGTTTCTCCTGTAATTATAGAGAGGATAGATTCCCAAAATAGACAGGGGAATACAAATCCTACAAGGAAATGGATAAGCAATCAAACTAGGAGACAAACGAATCGAATTCGGTAATCTCAGGACCGGATTCCTAGGAAATCGGATTTCTCGGAAATTGGATTTCTCGGGAGTTGGATTTCTCAGAAACCGGATTCCTCGGAAGTTGGATTTCTTGGAAAATGGATTTCTCAGAAAAACCGGATTTCTCAGCCCCAGCTCAGTCATCGGCGTCCGTGCAAAAGAAGGGCAAGAGCGGAGATGGGTTCCGCAACCCGATTTGCGACCATTGTGGGCGCAGGCACCCAGGGGAGTGTTGGTACACTCTGGGCTTGTGCCTTGGATGTGGCCAGGCCGGGCATTTCCGAAAAGATTGTCCGAAGAATCCGGGTGAGGCATTTCCGTCCGCACCGGCCGCTTCAGCCCCAGCAGCGCAGCCCGCTCAGAGTCAGAAGTAGGCGGTAGCATCTAGCCAGCCCAAGCGGCAGGCACCTGGCGCTCAGGCGGGGAAGGCCCCGGCCCGTACTTACGCGATGCGAGGGCGCACCGAGCAGCCAGTCCATGACGTCATCATGGGTATGTTTACCTTATTCGATACATCTATTATAGCCTTGATTGATCCGGGTTCCACTTTATCATATGTTTGTATGCCTATTCCTGATATGCCCAACATTCCGAGGGAAGACTTAGACAACCCGGTAATTGTGTCCAACCCATTGGGACACAGTCTACGACTCACCCATGTGTATCACGATTACCGTCAGTTAAACAAAGTCACCATCAAGAATCGCTATCCGCTACCACGCATTGACGATTTGTTCGACCAGCTTAGAGGAGCCACGGTTTTCTCTAAGATCGATCTCTGGTCAGGATACCATCAGATCCCCGTTAAGAAGGAAGATATTCCTAAGACAGCATTTCGCACTCGGTACGGTCATTATGAGTTCACGGTCATGCCCTTCGGGTTGACTAACGCACCAGCAGTGTTCATGGATCTGATGAACAGTGTGTTCCGGAAGCATCTTGACCACTTTGTGGTAGTCTTCATCGATGACATCTTGGTGTACTCCAAGACACAAGAGGAGCACGCTGAGCACTTACGCCTTGTCCTGAGCATTCTTCAGGAGTAGCAGCTTTATGCCAAGCTGTCCAAGTGCGAGTTCTGGCTGCACGAGGTTACCTTCCTCGGGCATGTCATTTCAGCCGAAGGGGTGAAGGTAGACCCGTGTAAGATAGCAGCGATCACAGAGTGGAAGACTCCGCGTAATGCTCGTGAGGTGAGGAGTTTTCTCGGACTGGCGGGTTACTATCGTCGGTTCGTGAAGGACTTCTCCAAAATAGCATCGCCACTGCACAAGCTGATGAGGAAGGACGTTAAGTTCGTTTTGACTGATGCCTGTCAGCAGAGTTTCGAGCAGCTGAAGGAGTGTCTGACCTAGGCACCGGTCCTGGTCCAGCCCACTCCAGGAGTGGAGTATACGGTTTTCAGCGACGCGTCCCATAACGGCTTGGGGTGTGTTCTCATGCAGGAAGGCAAGGTCGTTGCGTATGCATCTCGGCAGCTGAAGGCGCACGAGTGTAATTATCTGACACACGACAGTTAAAACCTCACGAGTGTAACTATCCTACTCACGAGTGTAACTATCCTCACGGAAAGGTCGTGGCATACACATCAAGGCAGTTAAAACCTCACGAGTGTAACTATCCTACTCACGATCTTGAGTTAGCAGCAGTTGTATTTGCTTTGAAGATATGGCGTCATTATCTCTTGGAGAAACGACATATATTCACACAGACCACAAAAGTCTGAAATACTTGCTAACTCAAAAAGAGTTAAACCTGAGACAAAGAAGATGGTTGGAATTGATCAAAGACTACGACTGTTACATCGACTATCACCCTGGCAAGGCTAACGTAGTTGCTGACGCATTGAGCCGAAAGATGATAGCAGAACTCCGAATTCAGCCTACTCTTGAGAAAGAAATTCACGTTGCACAAAAACATGATGACTACTGTTTGAAGACTTGTGAACTTGTCTCTAAGGGGGGAGAGACAAGATTTCACTGTAAAAGATGGAATTTTATTCTACCGGAATCGTTTGGTAGTTCCTAGTGGCGAAGTAAGGGAACGATTAATGCGTGAATCTCACAAAACCACATATACCATGCATCCTGGCAGTAATAAAATGTTCCAAGATTTAAGAAAGACATACTGGTGGCCCACAATGAAGCGAGAAATTTCTGAATTCACTACGCGATGTCTGACATGTCAACAAGTCAAGGCTGAACACCAAATGCCAAGTGGATTGTTACATCCACCTACTATTCCTGAATGGAAGTGGGAACGAATTACGATGGACTTCGTGATCGGACTTCCATTATCAACCAAGAAGAATGACGCTGTTTGGGTAATCGTTGATCGATTAACCAAGTCATCTCATTTTATCCCAATTCGACGTGATATGTCCTTGAAGAAATTGGCAGAATTGTACATCCGTGAAATTGTAAGATTACATGGTGTGCCTTCATCTATCATTTCTGATCGTGACCCGCGATTCACGTCGCAATTCTGGAAGAGTTTGCAAAAGGCTCTAGGTACTAAACTCAACTTTAGTACGGCATTTCATCCTCAAACAGACGGACAATCTGAAAGGACAATTCAAATTCTTGAAGATATTATGAGAGCATGTGTAATTGATTTTGGAAGCAACTAGGAACCATACATACCGCTAATGGAGTTCGCTTATAACAACAGTTATCAAGCGAGTATCCAAATGGCCCCGTACGAAGCCTTGTATGGGAGACGTTGTAGAACCCCAGTATGCTGGACAGAATTAAGCGAGCAAAGACTTGAAGGACCTGATCTCGTCCGCGAAACTGAAGAAAAAGTTCGTCTAATTAGAGAAAGATTGCAAGTGGCTTCCAATCGCCAAAAATTATATGCTGACTTGAAACGTCGTGAGATCGAATACAATGTTGATGACAAGGTGTTTCTGAAAGTCTCACCGTGGAAGAAGGTGTTACGGTTCGGTAGGAAGGGAAAACTAAGTCCGAGATATATTGGGCCCTATCGAATCACTGAACGTGTGGGTCCGGTAGCCTATCGCTTAGAGCTTCCACCAGAACTGAACAAGATCCATGACGTATTCCATGTATCGATGTTAAAAAGATATCGTTCCGATCCATCGCATATCTTGACTGAGGGAATTGTAACTCTTGACGAACAATTGACTTATGAGGAAGACCCTGTACAAATTCTAGCACGAGAAATCAAACAATTGAGAAACAAATCTGTACCTCTAGTCAAAGTACTATGGAGGAACCACTCGACTGAAGAGGCAACATGGGAAACCGAGGAGTCAATGAGAATGCAATATCCGAATCTCTTCAACCAATGACTCAGGTAATTTCGAGGACGAAATTATTTTAAGGGGGAGAGAAATGTAACGCCCCGAAAATAGGCCTATCAGAATTAATTAATTGATAATTAATTAATTACAAAGAAGGACCCAAAAATAAGTAAATTCTAAAGTTTGTCAATAATTAATAAAAATTATATCGTTGTGTAGAGTTTGACTGTCTGACCCCAACGGTTCAATCGGATTTCAATTTGGAGAAAGTTGGACCAAAAAGTGTACCCCAACTCGAACCAAATTTAGTCCCAATCAGGGACTACACTCCAATCGGCCCTGTTGTACTCAAACGGCGCACTAGCCGCTCAAAGATTCACCACTATTCCTTCAATGTCTTCTTCTTCTTCCTTCCTCTATTTAAGCAATCTCAAATTCCCTCAATTCTCCACCAAATCATCCCAAATTTCTTCCTAATCTGTTGCCCTGAGTGAGGAGAGTTTGCTGGTGCTTCCATTCCAGAGAGAGATCGCCGGAGTTGAGAGCTTTGTTTGCCGGAAAACCTTCAAAACCTCCATTTCACTTTGAGGTAAGCCTGTTGATATATCTAATGACTAGAATGTTCATATAGGTCGTTTCTACGTTCATAAATGGTCATTTGGTTGAGTTTTGTGTTTGACATGTTTGAAGAACCAAGAATCATAAACCTTGAAATTGTTGTTAAACTTCGAATTAATGGTATTAAAATGATCTATTGACATTGGGGAACATTTCTATATACTTTAATTGAAGTTTGGTGACTTAAAATGATGTTTCGAAAATTGGACCCGAGGTTGAAGACGAAGTACTGTTGCTGTAAGGCAGCAACGGTCGACCGTACCCTCACCACGGTCGACCGTTACTGGACCAGTGGCTTCAGTACAACGGAGGCAACAACGGTCGACCGTCACTTGAAACGGTCGACCATTCCGAACACAGTGAACTACGAAAATGCTATTTTTGAGTTCTAAAATCCTATTTTTGATACCAATTGATTATAATTATTATAAAAATGATTTACCACAATAAAAATGATGTTTTTAACAAATAAAAATGTTATGTGATGCATGACGGTAAGTTCGGGTGTTAACACTCGAAGCTAGGCCGCTAATTGTTGTTGAATATTATGTTGATTGATGATTATGGTAATAATTATTGGTTGATGATTATTAAATCTTGATAATTGTTCTGATTAAAAATGGAAATTATGAATGATTAAATCATAATGAATATATTGATGCTTGTGAAAATAATATGTATTGTTAAGGGTATCTAGAAGACCTCTAAGATATACCCATATTAATGTTGATTTGAAAGGTATCTAGAAGAACTCTAAGATATACCTATATAAGTTAGGCCTTGCGGGTATGATGTCCGGTGGCTAGGGTTAAAACATACGTACGGGATCCAAGAACCAAACTTGAGTACCTACTCGTTTGGGGTACCACCCAACCCAACAGTGAACACTACGCTGTCGGTTTTTGGTTGACCTTAAGTGAAGGTAAGTTTAAGATTTAAAAACTCTCTTTAAAAATATATATATCTTAAACTAGGCCTAGCTTAAGGATTAGGATATCTCGAACTAGAACTAGTTTAAGAATGAAATTGGCCTGAGACTAAGTATAGTTTAAGGATATTGTTAAATATTGAATATTGAATATGAATGTTGAATATTGAGATATTGAAATAAAAATATTGAAAAATATCATGAATGAATTATATATTGTGTGCATGATATCAAATGGTTATTTATGAATTGAGATTCAATTTATGTGGATGTTCGACGCTTTAGATATGCTTACTCAGCTTCATTGCTGAGCGTGTAGTATGTTTTATTTGCTACACGCAGGTAGGCAGAATGAATGATTGGCATGTTCCTGGCAGCACAAGGGGCGAGACTGTCGTGGTGGAATTTGTGATTTTAAATAAATAATTTTGTTGTTATTAAACATGGTTTAATTTGCTTCCGCATTATTCTTAAACACTCTGCATTTTGCTACAATTATGTATTAAATAATATTTATGATGAATAAAAGTATTTGAAATGTTTTAAATTTTATGATTACCAAGTTAATACTTTAGTCTGAAAGGGGCTGCAGACCTGGACGGATTAGGGTGTTACATGACCGCTAGGAGGCAGGCGCGGATCTGTGTGTCAACGATGGTCCAGGAGGTATACTCTGGATTAGGGACGGTTTTATCGTTTTTGGAGATAGTTGGCGCCGGGGATGCTTCATGACCATCAATCCATCCAAGGAGGAGATTAGCTGAAAGAGCTGTCTGGACATTGAGAGACCATGCCTGATAATTTGTTTCGGTGAGTTTTTCTGGGATTAAGTTGTGGAGACTCCGAAGCAAAAGTTTTACTCCGGAGGGTAAGGACGCCAAAGGATCCGACGGGACTGCCATGGTGGGCGGCGGTCAGAAAAAAGAGAGGCTAGGTTTTTGAGAGCCTTAGCTCTGATACCATGATAAAATTTGATAATAAATTGTCTTATTGAATATTGAGAGATATGGCCCTATATATAGGGAATACAAGAGTAATCAAAGTACAAGTAGGAAAGGAAAGAATAATCCTAGTAGGAAAGGAAAGAAGTATCCTAATTTAATTATACTTCCTAATAGATTTCCTAATTTTTGATTCTACTTTAAGAGTTTTGAAGATGTACTCAAAACAAAGTTTGCTGACCAAGTCTTTTTAGTTGGTAAGAGTCATTTACATTTACATAACTTAAATACTTACACATATGAAAGTTTTTTTGGTGACCTATACTCTCCCGAATTCTTAAATAAGATTCGTGAATTAACTCTGAAGGTAGGCACGCCTATTATGTTGTTGAGAAATATTGACCATTCAATGGATTTATGTAATGGTACACGGTTGATAGTAACCCGGTTGGCTAATCACTCAATACAAGGAAAAATATTATCAGGAAGCCACATGGGTGAAGAAGTTGTTATTCCAAGACTATCATTAACACCGTCCGATACAAGAATTCCTTTCAAGTTTCAAAGAAGACAATTCCCTGTGGTTACTTCGTACGCAATGACGATTAACAAGAGCCACGGACAATCTCTGAAACATGTTGGACTACTATTGCGGAAATCTGTGTTTAGTCACGGACAGCTCTATGTTGCAGTTTCAAGAGTAACTAATCGTAGTGGATTGAAGATTCTGATATGCAATGAAGACAATACTCCAACAAAGACTACAAATAATGTATTCTATAAAGAAATCTTTTGAAATTTGTAAAACATTGATGTTCTGTACCTTAAAACAATATAATCTCTATATTCTATTGCATCTCATTTTTATCATTAAAAATGATCTGAATTTAATAACATAAAAATGACCTGTGCAACGCACGAGTGTGATACTAGTTTACCAAAGTAGGATTAAAACATAATGACTTTCTCAAAATAGGACCATATGTTTTTATTTTCCAATGTAGGACCATTGGTCATTATCTATTAGTCATTATTCAACTAAATTTCCAGCATCACTTGGACATTATTCTTCTCACTAGTCATTATTAAGTCCTATTTAGGAAATAAAAAGGTTTAAGTCCTACATTGGAAAATGACTTATGTTTTAGTCCTATTCAGTGCAAATTTCACTTATTAAAATGCGCAAGGTATTGGCGATTTGTGAATAGATTATGTATGAGAGTTGAATGCATAATAGATTCTCTCTTTTATAAAATTTTTCTATAGTGGAAGTATATTTTCATGCTTGAATAGAGAGTTGGGGTTCAAAAGTATATTTCAAAACGGGTCTTTGAATTGCATGACTCCGGGCCGTGTGGAGAGTTGACAATCCTCCATGTCGTGGTTAAGGAAATGAATCGACTCAGCCTTTTTATTAATTTTTCCTATTCTTAAGTGTGTACGCCATATAATATATCACCTATGTGCCTATTATATTCTACGTGTAATGTTCTATTTGTTACGGGTTCTTGGCGGTGTTTTTTTTGGGTTACCTTAGTTGGAGAAGTTGATTATCTTTTTATCTTTTTTTCCCCCATTTTATCAAAAAACCAAAAAAATAAGAAAAATAAAAACCCAAAAAATATTTACTTTTTATTCAACCCCCCCTTGTTATGCTTAAGTTTTAGTATAAGTGTTTGTTTATAAGTTATAAATATAAGTTTTTATACTTTTTTAGTACTCTATATCTTAAGTATGTATTTTATGATTATAAGTTATATTCTATGTTCTTTTTTATATAAGTTATAGAGTAAATTCTATAATTGGTCCTTTATAACAAGGGGGTTTCCCTATTTAGTCCTCTATTATCAAATATTACCCAAGTAGTCCTTCTTTTATGAGTACCTTTCCACAAATAGTCTTTTTTTGATCTTCTATCATGTTGGTGTTAATTTGAGGGCTAAAAGTGTAATTTCACAATGATAATATATCTTTTTTGTCATACACAATTCCAAAGGCTGTTCCGTTTGCGTCGTTTGTGAATTACAGTCGCTTTTTACGACAACTATAGTCTACAAATGTGATCTTTCGTCAGAATCCTAGCCCATAATCGTAGTCATTATTTTTGTGTTATCCGCTTAGCCAACATCAGAACACGTCACTAGACATAATGTTGACGTCAAATTATAGTTTTAGCCTTTAAATTAACACAAACACGGCAGAAGATAAAAAAGGACCATTTGTGGAATGGTACCCTTAAAAAAAGGACTACGAGGGTAATATTTGATAATAGAGGACTAAATATGGAAACCCCCTGTTATAAAAGATTAATTATGGAATTTACTCTAAGTTATATTTATAAGTTTTTATATTTGTTTAGTTAAAAGTTTTTATTATAAGTTTTATACAACTTATCATATGTGTAGTAGTTAGTTTGTTTTGTTTAGTGACAATGTGTGTGCATGCTAATTTGATTTCAAAAAGTTCAAACTTTCTCTGTGGGATCGACCCTTACTTGCCCTAGCTATAGTATTTATTTGATTATATATTGGGGGTTAGTTAAGGTTATTTTATAAATTTTTAATTTGTTCTCGACCTTACGACAAGTCTTCAACAGTTCTACAGGTTCTTTAAGGTTTGCCTCAAGACTTCCGAGCTCAGGTTACTTTCCTCCAATATCAAAATCAGTTCCTGACTTTTTTAGAGATTTGCTCGGCCCTCTTGTTGGTTGAACAACAACAAACAAACGGCACCCGCGATGCTGGCTCATCGATGGCCCTCCTTAGCACCGACATTGGCGGTGGTAATCGAGCGGGGGGGGGGGACAGTAGCGGCATGCAGTGGTCCAGGGCGTGGCTACGGCGGACAACCTCGGAACTTCAATGGCGGCAACTGAGGACGGGGCCGTGGCCGCGACCATGGATGCCCGAATCAACGACAACCCATCGGATCTCAACCCTGGCAGTTCCCCAACCCCACACCCAGCCTTCTAGCCCACGCCCCCACCCCTCCTACCCAACCTACCTAGCCCAGTCGCATATGGCCCAAACCCAAACCCTTACTCGTACTACCCCCCAGCACTTTTACCCAGCCCCCTACCCGA